CAAAGGAATCTTAACAACAGTGCTGTCTGTTTAATTTACGTTTTCGAGCACACGCCAAATGTAAGAAAACTCCAATTTTGAGGAGTGTATAATTACAGAGTCAGAATGAATGACTATAAATAACCCATCATTACTAGTCCCTCCTGAAGAACATGATCCATACTGAAGGATAATTAAGGCAAAATATTTCTGATCCTCCAGCAGCCTGTACGAGGAATGCGTGCATGCGTTCTCAGCCTTCTGTGTGGTTGAGATACAGAGAGTGTGGGTGTGTTAAAGAGGGAGGGAAAGATTGTACGGCATTCTTCCCTAAATATAGTGCTGTTGTGGTAAGCAGCAGGATGAGTACTTCAGGAGAATCAAGACAGACCACTTTTAATTGGTTTATGGAGTCATTAATGGAACAGAAGCACAACTAGGAAACTTCTGTGTGTATATTGGAGTCTGTCAATGAACTTTAAACAACAACAGACATGGAAATAACTTTGATCAACAAACATGTAGCAAACAAGAAGATGATAATGAAGCTCCATGTTCAGCTGAGGTCTCCTAAAATAGAGCATTTCAACCAGGATATATCAGATTTGAGGATAATATTCCTAGATTAGGGCCAGCCTAATTAGTGCCCCATTATTTGGCATGGGGTACTTTGAGTTACATCCAAATAAACATATTGTCCTCCTAGCAGTGGTGTAAAAGAAGATTTTTTTTCCCTGTGTTCCTCCCTCAGAGTGAGAAAGAACCCTCTCGCAGAGAAAGGAAAACTTTACAAGGCAGCTTTTCGCTTTGTTATCACTTCCTCTCTTTCTTGCCCGATCAAAACACAAGAATGTCGCTTTGAGTGGCCAAATGAAAGAGAACCAGGCAAACATGAATGAAATTCCATGTTTACTTCTCTTACATCCAGAAGCTTGGCCAAGTTTTTCTTTGCGTCAGCAGGGGTCTGCATGGGTTGTTGAGTTGTCATGAGTTGTTGTTCAACTGGCATTGTGTCAGTCAACCAGCCAGGCAGTTATCAGGGAACTACCAGTTTCATGCTGCTATTTGTGTAAGAGAACAGCCTCCCTCCCTTTGCCCTCACTTTTCTAACTGAATCTTGCAAGCTCTTCTTGTAGCAAAAACCCTGTCATACATCAGCTAATTGCTCTGGCAATAAAAGGCCCATGACCATGCTATCTATCCATGAAGTTGCCCATTGTTGAAACATGGAATGGGCCACAACTAGTCTGCTAAACATGGTGTTGAATGGTTTAAAAGTGGCACCTCATATGGTCTTTGCTGCTTTTGGGCACCCCTAATTTGTTGATGCTTGTTATTCTGTGTTTCTCCCAAATCTTAGACATTGGGGTTGGTGTCAGGAGGGATTTGGTCCACCCTAGATGGCTATTGTGTCATTTCTCAACCAGCACCACATGCACAAAGCTAGGTAAAAGGATTATAGAGGCATGGATATGGGTGGGCATTTTGGAGAAAAGACAGCCAAGATATTTTAGAAAAGAATGAAACACAGAAAAAAACAGGTTGACGGAAGAGGAAGAGGCAACACGTTTGACAACTAAGGGAGTGGGTCTGCTGGAAGAATGGCCTGCCTCCACCGAAAAAGACGAGACAGTGCTGAAATTTCCTCACAACACAATCACCTCTTCGCTCTCGCCTCTCCAACATTCTTCCTGACGCACATGCATGCACACATAGTTTTACAAAACACAATTCACCACTAAACCAAATGGATTGCCCCCAAGTGACATGTCTCAGTTGCAAAGGGAGAGATGGTTGTTGTTCAGCAACAAAAGATCTCAGTGGTACGGGGAGCAAATGCTGTCACTGAATGCTAAATTGTTTTAGGGTCAACAAGTTATTTCTCTGTATGAGTGCATATTCACATGACTTGAGAAGGTTTAGTTCAAACTTCATGCTAGCTGAAGGCCATATGGAACTAAAAATTAATCAACATTTTTGTCGGTATTTATTCATACAACAAAGTTGCAAGAAAGGTTTCTCAAAATGTGCTGTTCTTTTTGCTAGAAACCCATAAAAATTATGTGAGAGATTAACAAAAAACTTCATTAAAAATAATCCCCTCCATCATTTGAAGTTGGTAGACTCTAATATTAAACTGTTTTATACATTTAATTTGTTTTATGTAAATACAGCATTTTTCCATGATGTGGTGAAATTTCAGTAGCAATAGTTTAAAAAAAAACACACAAAAAAAACAATCCCGACCATGCTGTATATTGCAAATTCTTTGTGTTTTGTTAATGATAAACAAACATCCCCACTTCAAAGATTTTGAATGACTATTTTTTATAGATATTTAAGATTATTTTATTCAGTTCTGCTTTATATATTTAACATTAAAACAGTGTTTATGAATCAGTTACATCATCTGAATAAGTAGAGAGCCTTAACTGCTTGTTTATATATTTACAAGTTTTTGCTTAGAATTGTACTTATCTTATTACTTCATTACATTCTTGTAATGGGCTGATTTAATAAAGATCAACAAAGGAAAGGGAGATAATATAAAGGAAGCTCTGCAGTTTAGATATAATATAGGGCAATTATATTTTTCAAGATATTTACTTTTAATGAATTCATTTGTTCTTCTTTATTCTCCACTTATTTTCATAACAATCCCCCACCCTGCATCGTGGCCTAGAGCATCCAGGGATGGAAATGGCTGGAAGTGACAGCCTAATTATCAGGCTCAACTGCGCTCATTAGCCCTTAGACAATCCACGGTATATCCACTTACTAAATGAATAATTTTGTTTTTATTACAGAAACACAATATTATGGCCTGCAGCTACCGCCTTTGCCCCCCCAACCTCACGCTGTGTCAGTACAAAAGGAATAAATGGGACACGGAGAGGTTATTTAATTTTAGTCACCCCCCTCTAAAGGCAAGCAGTGAGGGGGTGTTATGTGTGAAAGAGCAAGGGGGGAAATATCATACACCTGCTTTTTGGCGTCACACCATAGTGACCGTCGTTTAAGAATAAAATGTGTCTGCTTTGCTCACCATTCTTAATTACAACAGACTGATAAGGCATACGTCTGAAGAAAAATCATATTTTTATTTCATTTTTTACAAGACTGAGGAATAAACAAGGGAAGCCTGATACAAACGCGTTTTGATAACGTTTTTTTTCTTCTGGTGTTGGTACTTATTTAGTGAATATAACTCCACAAAAGAAGACTATGTCTATTCAACAGAACAAACAGGTTTAATGACCTTTGTTAATGGTTCATCCTGGACCTCCGCTGTGAAGAACGGCCTTTTAAGCAACAGATTTATGCGCGTCTTTCTCTGCCACTCTGACGCATTCTGATAAACATTTACAGGTTCAAAAGAAAAATCTTAATTTATGCAATTACTGACATAACTTCATTTGAATAAATATAAGTAGTGTGTTCTCACAACATTAACAAATAAATTAAGTGTATTTTTTCGGATTTTGAAAACAAGTCATTTAAATACAAATGTTAAAATTGTTTGTACTTTTCATTTAATTTGTGTATAGCCTTGTCACCTTAACACGAGCATTTTGAGTATTATTTTTTAGTACTTTAAATTTTTACTCCAAAATGCGTTTGGGTAAAGCGGCTTTAACTTTAAGAATTCTATTAGTCGCCTATAGAGGGCGCTGTGATATTACAAAACGGACCCGCATAGACTCTACAGGTTTAAGACCGCTTCACACATGAATTCTCTGAAACAAATGACTTTACCTTTTGTTTTCATTCTCAAAACTGGTTAGATTTAATCCATTTTTATATTGCGTGTAACAATTTATTTTTAAATACACGGTAAAAGTTTCTTTCCCGCTATATTTTGGGAGGAAATATAAATATTAGGCCGCTTTTATGTTTTACAAACATTAAAACATCACCTTAAAATCAAATATATAAATAAAATTTTACATTCTTAATTGTATTATGAAAAGCTACAGAAAATTGTTAAAAAGCAAAAAAGAAAAATGCTTCTTGACCGCATTGGTTCAATTAGAGCGCTTCCGCTTGCTCCTTTGGCCAGCATACTAAAAAAAAAAAAAAAAAAAAAAAAAAAAAAAAAAAAAAAAAAAAAAAAAAAAAAAAAAAAGCTTTTATAAGGCTAATGATTATTATCAGCCCCTAAACAGACAGAGACTCACGGCCCGGTCCCTGCTATATGTCAGCCGTCTCCTTCTCCCCCCCGAAATAGGGGAAATATTAATAATTTATCTTTGAATCGACTTCTCCCTCTGACAGATTAGATTTTAACCATTTGATTTTGTTTGGACTGGGCGTTCCCATATTATTACTTAATGACGTTCCCAGCTGCTCCTGTCCATTTTCTGTCACTAGCAACCATCTGGACACTTATTAGCACCTCAATGCATCCACGCTGCTTTCCTTCCAAACTTGAATAAAATTAAGCTGGCTTGCCTCCGGTCTGCCAACACCGTTTTCTTCCCTCTCTGCTTTGTTGAAACACGAATAAAAGAAAAAAAAAAAAAACACACACGCCCCCCGAAAAATTTAAAAATAATAAACCATGTTTATATAATAATAATTATTATTATTATGATAATTTTAAGATAAAAAAAAATCTTGGATTTTCTCTAAAGTTTCAATTAGTTTATTAAGCAAAATATACGATCTGGACAAATTCCTTCAAGGTTTTCTATTTACAAATTTTAAATCACTTGGTATTTACATCAAACAAAAAACACACACAAAAAAACAGGATAAAGACAAATAATTATAATATTAATATTATAATAATAATAAAGTAAAAAGCCTACCAAAGTGTCCCAGTCAGCCTGGGCAAAGTGGAAGAGAGAGAGTGACATTATAGGCGCGAGTATAGGCTACACAACAATAGAGGAAGTAATTCATCCATCCACAGGATATTACCAAATTACGCCATTTGTTCTGTACCGAGTCAATGCTACACTGCATTTTTATTTCTTATAGTCCTTTCCGCGGTGCGTTAAGTCTCTTTTCCCCTTTTTTTTCTTTCTTTTTTTTTTTTTCAAGAATGGGAAAAGAAATAAAATGTCTGGATCAAGCCGAGGAGAGAGCGGTGAGGACACGTTGCGTGGCGTCTTGGGGACTCCTGGCGCTGGAAGGCATTGAGGATCTGGATAAAGAATAATACAGAGAGGCAGATAAATACCCCCGCCGTGTTTGGACAGCGGGTTTCAATATGCATCTCAAGTGTCTGCCTGAAAGGTTTTGATTAGGGAACAGGGATCAGCCTGCATATTTTAATTTCTAGCTGTGTTTTTTCCTACAAAATGAATTATTAAAAACAAGCGAA